ACTGATTAATACTGGTTAGAGTTTGAGCAGTGGTCCTCAATGAATCATTTCTCTCACCCTTATCTTCCCACATTGGCTTCCGTGTGATCTTGAACACATGGCACTGTTGGTTTTTTATATCTATAGTGTTTCCTGCTCCTAGGAGATAGACTGTCCTAGGCTATGGCCCTGTGAGCTCCAAAGGGTTGGAAGAACCGCCAGAGGCCCAGGAACTGGGATCCATACCAGAGTTAGGCACCAGCCAAGTCAAATTAACTAGTACAGCCCTGTTTGACCCACCTGGCAGTAGATTGACTTGAAAGATGCTATCCTATGTAAGAAAAGAAGTTATTCCATCCATCAGCTAGACTACATTCTGAAGTAACCTTGCTGGGGCAAATACTTTGTAGCATCTGCTTTGAATTTGAGCCTACTCCTTCCAGGAACCAAAGTGGTACTGAGGATAGTGCATCCTTGTACAGAAAGATGGGTTTAGAATTCTTTTCTTGCTATATCTTCTTAGTCACTATCCCTACATAAAAGCTAAATGATGTTAATTGCTTATTTATGATATCCAGGAGCTATCAACTGGTTAAATGGTACTGGAGAGATACTTATGGGCACTAGCAAATGATGTTGGGGATAGTCATTAATAGCAATTGATATTATGGAGAATACACAAGAATGGGGGCCCAACTAGTAGCATCTGAAGAACCCCACTGCCCATCAGAAGTATTCCTAAAAACTTGAGAAGGAGATGTAGCCAGACCAGTTCTGGGACTCAACCCAGTTGTGCGCATGTGGATTGGGAGACTAAATCCAGAATCTTGCCACCCATGCAAGTTAGGGAGGACCCTAACACCAACTGAAGCTTTGGTTCTGAGTCAGACTTATCCTAATATTTTCTCCAAAGTCATTGTCACTGTCTACATCATGTCCTCCCTGGTACAGAGCACATTCAACATCCTAGACTTGTACTATTGCTTTGCCAAATAACACTATACTAATGTGTATTTTTTCCCCACAAAAGTTTTCCTCTATTGCCTTGTCCTGACACTATCATCACAGTGTTTGTTTTTATCACTGTTTGTCAATGCTTGCACATTTAACTGCTATTTATCAGTTGTCAAAAGAAACAAAAGCCACGTATATTAACCTTAACAAGGTAACAACAAAGTTGTTCTGTGTATTCAATAAACATTTTATTCTGTTTAATGTTATCTCTGCCAATTTTGCTGTTGTCAGTGCATCTACAGAATTTTTTAAAATTGGTTTTGCCTTATTGACTTTTCATTCATTCCATACTTTTTGAATTCTTCATATTCATCCTTTCTTATAGCACAATAATATTCCATTATACTCATACATTCAACCATCCTTCAATTGCTGGGCACACAGGTTGTTTCCAGGGTTAACTGGAACAAACAGTGCTTCTAAGACTATTTTTGTCCAGCAAAGTCTTTTTTCCCCTTGTCAATAATTTCCCTCAGGCACAAACAAAGGTGTAGGATCTTTGGCTTAAAGGGCATAAGGATTTTTTTTTTCTAGGAGAGTTTTTTTATTTTTATTTTAAAATAATTAATTTATTTTTAGTTTTCAACATTCACTTCTGTAAGATTTTGAGTCTTAAATTTTCTCCCTCTTCCTTTCCTCCTCCCTCCCCAAGATGGCATGCAATCTGATATAGGCTCTACTTATACATTCATATTAAGCATATTTTCCCATTAGTCAAGATATAAAAAAGAATTAGAACTGATGGGAGGAACCACAAGAATGAAGAAATAAAACAAGGATTTTTTTTTTAATAAATCATATTTTATACTTCCATATTGCTTTCCAAAAAGAGTGAATCAACTTACAGCTCTGACAACACTATGTATTAGTGTACCTCTTTTGCCATAGTCATTTCAGCATTGAATTTCATCTCTTATTATCTTTTAAGTTGTTGTTGAGTTGTTTTAGTCATGTCTGATTTTTCATGATCCCATTTGGAGTTTTCTAATGGCAAAGACATTGGAGAAGTTTGCTATTTTCTTCTTCAGCTCATTTCGCAAATGAGGAACTGAGGCAAACAGGGTGAAGTGACTTGCCCAGGGTCACACAGTTAGTAAGTGTCTGAGGCCGGATTTGAACTCAGGAATATGAGTCTTCCTGAGTCCAGGTCTGGCACTCTATTCACTGCAACACCTAGCTGCCCCTTATCATCTTTGCTTGTCCTCAAAGAAATCATGACTGAAAAAGATGAGCTGGCCATGTAGAGAGAGTGCGGGATAATTGATGGTCAGTCAGTCTATGTGTTCCATTCATATTACTTATAATGTCCAGAGAACCTTAGCACACTGGGTGAACCATCTATGGTAAAGTTGTAGCAAGGTATTGTTGAGAGTCAATGGGATAGGCTAGGATAGATGGGCTATGGCCCACCTCATTGAGGGGAATACCTACACTGATATGTATCATCACAGATCCATTGGAATATTAGAGATATACCCAGCTTTGCCAATTTTATGGATATAAGATATCTTAGAGCTGATTTAATTTACATTGCTCTAATTAGTAGTGATTTTGAACACTTTCAACTGATTGCTGATAGTTTATGTTTCTTCCTAAAAGATCACAGGACTAGGAATCAGGAGAACCTGGATTCTATCTTGCCTTTAATAGCTATCTATTTATTCCCTCATCTATAAAATGGGCATCAAATTGGGGATCAAACAAGATGGTGTACATAAAATGGTTTGCAAACCTAAAAGTACAATAAAAATTTCAGCTATTACTATCATTAAAAACTGTCTTTTTATATCTCCATATTAGAGAATGGCATGTTTAATAATTGGAAATAAATTGTATGCCCAACAAGTGGAGAATAGCTAAACAAATAAATGTGATGACATGTAACTCAATCATGAAGAAAAATCAATATGAAGAATTCAAAGAAATATAGGGAAAAATTTGAAGTGATTCAGGAAGAACAATGTAGGACCAGAGGAATAGACACAACCCACTACATGTATACAGACAATTTGAAATGGTTACACAGCTCACATCAAAAACACCAAGAACAGGCAGCTATTCTGTGAATGTTTCTGGGCTACATTCGAACAGTGGATCCACAGAAAGTGGCTGACTACTGTCTCCCTCAGTGTTTTAGAGGTTTGTATGGGGTTGGTGGTATTCTGTTACTGTTGTACACAAGCACTGCCCCCTTTTTTGTGTTCCCCTTTGATTACTAGCTAGCCAGAGATAATTAGATTTGAGAAAGGATTATTTAAAAACATCACCCCAAATATTTAGGGCATGCAATCCCGTAAGTACATACAGACTCCAAGGAAAGTGGGTTCAAGCTTAGAAAATAAAGACCTTTTTGCCTTTTGGTGAAATCCCTTTTTGGCATGTGTCCTAAAGGTTGGTATCCTTGCAGAGTCCTGAAACTACATCTCTCACCCTCCCAAAGCTTTTGTCCTAGGTCAGCTCAAAGCTGGGTTCATAGTTTATCATTGTTATCTCTGATATTGTCAATGATAGGGAGGAGAAATGGGATACTCTTTTTCCCTCCCTCTATTCCTTGCTGATCTCTAGTTATAGGTGTAGGGGTCTGCTTTCTCAAAGTACTCCCAAAGCTTAAGTAAATGCTAGAATGTTCCTGCTGGGACCTTCTCTGGTATATGAAAGCCCAGAGGTGTGTCCGGTTCTTTCAACCACTCACTCCAATCTTACCTCTGATTTCATCCACTTCACTCTTTCCCAATTTGACTAATTAAGTTGTTTGAATCTAATTTATGCATTTGATTGACTCCATAACTTAATCAAAGAGGTTGTCTTACTTGATAAAGGTATTCAACATGAAATGTGTCCTTGGTTATGTTAATTTGGGTTGTGAGTTGTCTAAACACCTCTCCTAATCTTATCATATTTGCAGATGACAGGCCTACTAATACATTGAAAGACAGGATCAGGATCAAAAAAGGTCCCAAAGGGCCCTAATCATGGTATCAAACTCAAATAGAAACAGGCAGCTGAATTTCTACATAAGGATCCCTGTGGGTTGCTGCATAATATCTTAGAAAATCACATGTTAACATTATCTGTGTTTTATTGTATTTTTATTTATTTTGTTAAATATTTCCCAATTATATTTTAATCTGGTTAGGGCCAATCTCAGAGTGTTGTGGGTATAAACCCATAAACCTCATGTTTGACACCTCTGGGCCAGAACATTAAAGACAAATCTAATTAGGGTGATATAGCAAGGTTTATCAACCTCCTTACCCAGGCATGGGTTAGAGACACAAACCTGTCCTAGTGAAACTTAACAGGAATGAATGTAAAGTTTTCTATTTGGACTCAAAAAATCATTTATGCGAGTACAAAACAGGGGAAACAGGGATAGATAGCTGTTCATGTGAAAAATATATAGTGGCTGGCAAGTTTTTTTTTCCCCTACCACCAAAATTAATCTGCTTTCTCAAATACTTGAAGGGCAGCTATCACTCATTACAGAATTACAAAACCACAGAATGTGGAAGGGGGCCTTAGAAATAATCTCATCCAAATTGATTTTACAGAGGAAAATGAGGCTTAAGGTAACTTGCCCAAGGTCATGCAGCTAGTAAATAGCCATGGAGACGAAACAGGCTCTTTTAGGCCCTGTGCCTTTCAATGAATTGTAATTTTTATCCTACAATGCATAAACTCTTCATAATGGTGAGGTTGGCCATGCCCGGGGTTGCTATGGAAACAACTGTGATGACATCTGTCTAGGTCTTCACAAGGTCCAGCAAAAGAGGCTGTCTCCTTGCTTCTAGAGGCTGGCTTCGTAACTTAGGAAGATTTAAAAACAAGCAAACCACAGAACCCAGAACTATGCCAGGCCCCACATGAACATTTAAATCTTGAAACACTAAGTACTTTTTCTTTCCTGAGAAAGTCCTGTTGAGAAATAGAAGAGGCCAAATATTTTCTATCCCCTACGAAAGAGGGTCTCTCAGTGACAATCTTCAGGCTTTTCCTCTGGGTTTCTGATGATCCCTGGAAAGGTGAAAGACGGGCCAAGGAGACTGTGCAGGAACTCCAATGCTGTTACGAAAGGCTTCCACAACCTCTGGGACGTTGCCATCCGGAATGCAAAGACCTCATCCAGCATACCAAATCCATGCCTGCTCCCCAAACCCAGTCCTAGCTCCAGCTATTGCAAGAACAAGGTATTGGGATAAAACAGAATTTTCATAGGTGGAATCTCTAGCCACATATCCACTGCACAACTCATTTACTCATTCATTCATTCACTCAGCCACTCATTCATTCATTCATTCATTCAACAAGTGTTACAGTCTGAGAGATTTAGACCCCTCAAGAACTGTAATATAAGATGGGGTCGTCTGGAATGAATTCCAGACTCAAACATTCGTTGAGTCAAGGTGGCAAAGATTTATTGTTACGCTATACAACGGGCAGAGGTCCTTAAAGAATTCTGCCATGGTGGGCAGAGCTCCTTAGAGAACTTGCAACCTAACAGGAATGATGCTAAAGCTTCTGTAGGAAAAGTAGTGAATTATGTACCAAGTATGCTAATTAGGTGATAACATACAACTACATCATTCATTACTGGAAACAGGGTTGGGGGGAGATGGGATGGGAAAGGAGACAGTTCCTAAAGGGTATATTTTGGCCTATTGTGTCTGTAACAAGATAGTTTCAGGAGATGACATCTATAGCTTGACCTCTGGATTGTATACAGTAACTGTGGGCATAGTACATGATAGTTCTGCTGGTACAAGATAGTCCTGTTCATACAAGGGAAATGCTACAGAGGTCAGCTTGTTCTTATAACAGGGAGAGACAGTAAGCTAGTTTACCTCACTGGGCCCACTCATGAGTTATTGCCAGAGATAGGGTCTTTGGGCTGTAGGGAAACTGCCAGGGATAGTGTGTCTGAGGCCAGGGAGAAATTGGGGTCCAAACACAAGTACCCACGCACCCCATCACAAGCATGTGTCACATGCCTACTGTATGCCAGACTTATTACAAGTTGGGAATGCAAAGGGAAAAAAATGAAAAGAAACAACCCCTTCCCCCAAACCTCAAACTGTTCCTGCTCTCAAAAAGACTACATTGTGGGTGGCGGGGCAGAGAAAAACATGTGCCCAGATAAATAAATACAAAGTGTAAGCAAAGCAAGTACAAAATAATTTCCAAGGGGGAAAGCCTTTAACAACTTGCAGGATCGGGAAAGATGGGGGTGGGGGAGGGTGGGACACATTAGGCAGTAATTCTAGAAGCTGAAGATAAGGAGGAAGTGTGAAATAATCTTAAAAGGTAGCATCTCACCAGGGCCTTGTCCAAATATCACAAGGCCTTGAGGGAGCACTTGAATAAATATATGAATGTCAGAGGTTTTTCTTTTTTTCATCCCATCAGTGGTGGAAAATGTCCCATTACCCATCCCTCCTCCCCTTCTCCAGTTGTATTATTATGGAGACATGTATCTAAATTCAATGAAACCAGATCGTTGATTTAGAGTTAATTTAGTTCAATCTCTCTATTTTATAGCTGAGCCAACCTAGACCCAGAGATGTTATGTGATTTGTCCAAGACGACAAAGCTAATAAGTGGCAAAACCAGGGTTTCGATACCAATGTCCTGACTCCAAGTCTATCTATTGAACCAATAGAGACTCTCTACAGTATAAAGAAGTTTTTCCACTCATTTAAATGAGCTCTCTGCCCTTCTAACATCTTTCTGAACCAGCTCCGTTGCAAGTCCCTAGCACTCTCCATGATCCTATTTGGGGTTTGTTTGGCAGAGATACTGGAGTGGTTTGCCATTTCCTTCTCCAGCTCATTTTACAGATGAGGAAACTGAGGCAGACAGTGATGGGACTTACCCAGAGTCACACAGTTAGTGTCTAAGGCCAGATTTGACTAACGAAGATGAGTCTTCCTGATTCCAAGCCCAGTGCTCTATCTACTGTGCCACCTAGCTGCCCCAAAAGATCTCAAGATTGTGCCAAATGAAGATCTGTTGAAAGAAGTAGGAACACATAGCCTTGAGAAGATTTGGTATTGGGGGATGGTGGTGAGATGGCTGTGTTCAAGTATTTGAAGGGCTGACATGTGGAAGAAGGGATTAGTTTTATTCTGCTTGGCCCCAGATGGCAGAACTGGGAACAGCGGAGGGAAATTGCCATGAAGTTAACTTTGAATTGATGCCAGGAAAAACTTTATAATAATTTGAGAGAGTTGTCCACAAGTCAAATGGACTGCCTTGGGAAAGTAATGGGTTCCCCTTCCCTAGAGGTCTTAGAATAGAGTCTAGACACCCACTTTAGGGGTATGTTGTAGAGGGGATTTCCATTCCATCATGGATCCATCTAAAAAGTTCTCTCTGGCTCTGAGATTCAGTGATTCTAAAAAGTCACTCTAATTTTAAAGATGCACTATCATGATGGTATTACTGCAGAGACTCAAGAAAATTGTTGTATTGATGTCATTTTTGGTGTTTTGTTCCCCCTCAATTTTCCTCACACACACACACACACACACACACACACACACTCACTCACTCACTCACACACACACACTTGGACTCCTTCCTTGAAACATAGAAAAAGAACTAAGCCGAACTAACTGACACACTCACCTAGTTTGAAAGCATTCGCACCATTCTGCACCCATAGTTCTCGTCCTTTATAGAAAGAGAAAGGAATTTTGTGTTTCATTGTCCAGGACCAAGTTAGGTCTGTTCAGACCTTGGTTGCCTTTTACCATAGTTCTTGTTTACATGACTGTCTTGTATTTGTTGTCTTCCTGACTCTGTTTCCATCACTGTGCATCCATTCCTACAAGTCTTCCTCTATTTCCTTGAATTCCTCATATTTGTCATGAAAGAAATGATTCTTTTTCTATTATTCATAATCAACTATTAAACTAGGACTGAGGTTTTTTTTTTCCCTTTATTGCCTCATCCAGGAACCTGCCTTTTTAGGTCAGCCAGTCTCTTAAGGGCTGGTGATGAGATTGGCCAAAACCTTCAGGAATATTCTCCTCAATCTTGGAAGAGCTTATTTCTGATTAAAGTATAAAAAAAGCAAATCTAGGTGAATTCTGGCCCTAAAAAGCATTAGGCTTGTGCCCTTGAAACCCACTCTCCCCATTGTTCAATGTAAGTAGTCTGGGTGGCAATGGATTCTTTTGTTCAGATTGCTGGAGGCAGCTGAGTCTCATGATCAAGCCATGTTCTCAGCCTGAGAAGCTGAAGGCTTTCAGCCCACCTTCTCGTCTACCCCTCATTGATTGCTCACTGATCAGTGGTGATCTCTGCCTGTCAGGGGCATCCAGTTTTCCAAAGGTTTTTAAGCATTCAGTGATCTCCATGGTTTGTCTTTGGTTACCTAGAGAGACCACTGACCATCAATTTATTGATTATTTGCTAGCCTAATTAAAAAATTGATTATTAATTACCCAGAAACTCTGTCTCTCATTCATCACAGTCATTTTATTTTCTATAGGGGATAGAGACCTAGACTTGCTAGCTAGGCAGGAAGAGACTTAGGTCAAGTCCTACCAGTGTGTGCAATGGGCTTTAAATCAGGAAGACTCATCTTCCTGAGTTCAAATCTGGCCTCAGACACTTACTAGCTGGATGACCCTGGGCAAGTCCTTTTACTCTATTTGCCTCAGTTTCTTCATCTGTAAAATAAACTGGAGAAGGAAATGGCAAACCACTTCAGTATCTTTGCCAAGAAAACCCCAAATGGGGTCATGAAGAGTCAGACACAACTAAAATGACTGAACAACACTACAGGCAAGTCATTTGACCTCTCATTATTCTAGGGAATTCTCTAAGACTTTAAGTTTATCTGTATTAGTAGAGGGAGTTTCCTCACCCAGGAATGGGATATCAATGGGATCCCAGGTCCAGTCTCAGTCCCCGTTCCTAGCTTTGTGTTCACGTAGCACAGTTTATTCAGTCATTCCCCCACCAATGTCCCACCATCCCACTTTTGTTTCCAGCTCTTTGCAGTCACAAAATGGGCTACTTTGAAGTTTGCCATCTATGGAATTTTTCCCCCTGCTCTTGACTTCTTGGAGATATAGGCCTGGCAGTGGGGATTGTTTGGTCAGAAGGCCTGAACCATTTTGTAACTGTTCTCACACAATTCCAAATTGTTTACCAGGTTGCTTGAACAAATTCGCAACTTCAGGAGAGATTTTTATTTATTTATCTTTTTGATTTGATTTCCAAGCAACTGAATTTCTTGCTGCAGATGAATAGCAAGTGTTCTTCTACTGCTTTGTGCTTGGGAAGTGGACATTTGAATACAGGACAAGATATAATTCAACTCAGTCATTTAAAGACCAAATTCATAGGTTCAGTAATATCCCTCAAAGCACCTCCCCTCTCTACACAGCTATTTCCCTGCAAAGAACTAATCAACCAGCAAGCATTTATCAAGAGCTTACTATATGCCAGCCCACTGATCCCTCTTCTCCATCTGGTGCTTCTGGTTTTTCAGGGGGCATTCAGAGCTCTGCCGGTTATGGGAAAAAAACCTTTATCCAGATCATATGGTGGTATCATGAGATGAAGTCTCCCTGGGAACCAGAACGATCAACCTTTTTTTTTTTTAATGGAAATGATAAAGGGCTTATTTATCTAAGCCTGCTTGGAAAATCAGGTTAATAATGTTCAGAGGAATCTATATTCCAGTTATTGATGAAAAACCTCATCTGGCCAAAGGATAAGTACCATTGACAGTTGTCTTTGATCATTTGGAAGTCTGCCAAATGGAAGAGAGAGTGGGCTTGAATGAATTACTGAATGAAAAAAATTATTAAACACTTGATATGTGTCAAGCACTGTGCTAAGTACTGGGGATACAAAGAAAATAAGGGACACAGCGTCAAGGGGCTGACACTCTAATTGGGGGAGACAACACATTAAAGAAAGTTTAGCTGTAGGACAGGAAAAAACACCTAAGGGCCTCAAGAGTAAAGGGCATAGCAGACGGGTGGATGGCAAGGCCCAGAGATTCTTAGGATTATATCGGGTCATTTAACGGTACCAGGAGTCTGGAGGTTGCAGACGCAGGTCAGATGGTAAGGACTGGAGGCTCATAGGAGATAGAGACAAGGTAGGTGGTCAGGCCTGGTTCTCAAGAACCCAACCTCAAGCCTACTTAGTAGCTCAGTAAATGGATTCA